TTTTGCGGCCTTCTCTCCTTACCAATATCATACCAACATCACAGCCATCCATTTGTATTGGAACAAAATTCTGATCAAGTGCACCATATCTTCTCAAGTAAATTTGTACAATTAGGAACAACAAAAAGTAAATTCAAAGCACCTATGGTTGGATCCAATAATTCATGCACATTTTCAATAGAAGAAGCAAGTCTGATTTAACATCAAAGCATAGAGCAATAGTTGACTTGAACCATGAGTTACTGTGTGCTCTGAGAAACCAGCAACACTCTATATATTCTGCTTACCAAAAAGTAATAGTAAACACAAGACTAAAATATTATGTTTTAAAGTGGTTTAAATGCCAATAATACCCCAATTTTGCTTAAGGAAAGGAACAAGGAGCAGAAAATGTTTTACCAATTCCTTCTTTCCCTGTTTGAAATTCCTGTAGTCCTAGTTCAAAGCTACAACCACTGCTGCACTCTGACACTCTATTTAAAAGGAAATATTCAAGTCCCACTGAATTCAGTGTGCCATTTTCCTGAGCATACATACCCAGGAAGGTTGCAGTGTGAAGAGCAAAGTTAGGCTTCAAGTAAAGAGAGTTGCGTCTGTCTCCATCTGGATTGTGAATCTAGAACAACTCATATTTGAAGCAAGTTTTCTTCCTAGCCCTCAAAGACTGAATTATAATATTACCATTCTAATATATTACTGCATTGTTGTGGCACTACAGTGAAATCAAGCTGTCTCATGCAATAAAATACAAAGTGGGAAATCTGATAAACAGCTTCCCCCAAAAGGTCAAAGTTAATAGGTTTTTGCTCAGAAGAATAACATTGAGCCAGAAAAGCAAAGAAAAAAAGAAAAGAAAAGAACAGGCATGTTTTCAGCATTCGTTATCTGGAAAACTGCAGATACAATATACAAGTTCAGCTGTGCTATTTTAGGGAAAGGACATAGGAAACTCCTAAATGTTCTTTTGTCCTTGGTATAGGATATTGCAGACTTTGGATGAAAATACATGAACAGAAGTACCTTACCATGAATAACTAATCGAATAGGTCGTCCTCATAGGAAAAAGAGACACTTTCATCTAGAGGTGTGTGTGCTGAGGTGGGAGAAGAGTCACTTTTGTTATAATTTATATGAAGGCTACAGATGGCAACTGGGGAAGGCAGGTATCCCATTGGCCTTACCTCTATCACTGAAGTCATCCACAAGAATGATTTCCGCTATCAGGCTATTTGGTGTCCTATTGATAATGCTGTGTATGGTCCTCAGGAGTGACGTCCAGCCCTCATTATGAAATGGAATAATTATGCTAGTGTTTGGAAGCTTCTCCAAGTATACCTTGTGCTTACAGCTGAGGAGAACAAAAAGAAAGAAAGACTTATGAGAATATAAGCTCATTTTTCCAGTTCAACCAACTTTTCTTTATTACATGCATTTAGATATCTCATAAGCAAACAGTTTAAATACCTCTTGCTGTGGGAACCCTGTAATGCAGGGGTCTCACACTCGCGGCCCGTGGGCCAATTGCCGGGACAGGCGGGGCACGGGGGGGGGGCTGCGGCCTTCAAAGCACCGGCGGTGCCCGGGCCGGCCTCCGGATGAGCGGCCCACCACCACTGCGGTGGTGGAATACTTGATGCGGCCCAGCCTCACCCAGAATCTACTTCCAGCAGCCCCCAGGTAAGTTGAGTTTGAGACCCCTGCTGTAATGTCATTTTGTCTGTGTTGAACACACACAGCTATCTTAGATAGCTAAATTACATAACTCTGTTGTTAAGACTGACATTTTAAACTAAAGTCCCTGCTTTATTGATAGGTTTATGTTTCATGTAGCAAAAGCTTTATGAAAACAACAACCTCCAAAAGGAACTATGTTAGAACAACACGACTCCTCAGCACTTTGGGAACAGACTCTGCACATGAGAAGTGCTACATAAACTTTTGCAGGTTTACTGAAAGTAAGACAAAGTAAGTATGACAGGGCTTAATCCCAAATCAGCATTGCAGTCATAGGTCTTTGGTTTTGATACTCATTTCCTGCTTTGGAAATAATTGATTCCTGTAATTCCAAGCAGTCTTCAGGTTTTTACTCAAAACCAAATCATCACTGTACAATAATCTATGTCTAAGTTTGTTTGCTTTTTACCAATGTAAGTTTATATCTATTTTTCCTCTTCCCTCCCTATCCCCTATTCCTTGTGTGTCATGTCTTTTAGTCTGTAAAGTTGTGGACAAGGACAGTCTTGTTTTACTCATTTTGTTTCAGTTCTCTGAGACCTTTTGCAATTGAGGAGCAGGATACAAAATGAATATTTAGTCAGGAAGTGCTGGGATGCATATTATTTCAAAACAGATAGAAAATATGGAATAAAGCAATAAAATAAAAATAAAAGCAACACACATGGAAATATATGATATATCTATGACACTTCAGTTACCTTCAAATGAAAAATTATTTGCACAAGGCCAATTTATACAGCATGGCAGCACATAATCACAACATGAGCAAAATTCTATAGCAGAAATTATTCTTGCTGCATGTACAGCTTGCAAGCAGAAGCACCAGCAGATATTTGAAATCTGCTACTATGTCTCGTCTTAACCCTCTCTTTCCTGTTAAGCATGCCCACCTCTTAAATTCTAGACATTCTGGTTGCTCTTTCCTGGGCATGCTCAATGCTTTTCTGAAAGTGGGGCTCCTGAAAGGGCATTGTACTCCAATGCATTATTTGATGAACACAGAACAGAGCAGTATTATTTCCCATGGTCTGGACATGATAATCTGTTAATGCAGCCCAAGGTTCTGCAAGGTTCACTCTTGCTCTGCCAGCTCGTTTTCAGGTTGAGATTCACTGTTTCTTAACACATGTGTACTGCAGCCAAGCCAGTATCACTCTGCTCTACACTTGCTCCTACTATTACCATTTGCTGCCTAAGTTGTACCCAGACTGTGTACTTGTCTGTGCTGAATTTTATTTTGGTACCTTCAGTCTGTTAGGATCATTTGAATATTGATTCTGTCTTCCGTGGTGTTGCCTGCCCTGTCTAGCTTGGGGCCATCTGCAGCTTGAATGAACAATCTTGAATTTTGCAGGGCCAATGGCAGGACCTGTGGTGCTCTACTCAAGACCTCCCTTCAGGAGGATACAGAGTGCATCGTGAGCTGTCAGAGAAGGTTGCTCAACCAGCTGTTGGTCCACCTAACCTGTTGGTCCACCTAACCTTTCTCCTCCACAAGTTTTGAAGAAAAATAGGTTGAAAGGGGAAGGGCAAATGGCCCTTTTACCTGTAGTCTGACTTGGCTGTGTTGACAGGGACTGTCCTGTGACAGTGACTGACAGTTCATCAAGAGACCATCCCATGAGCAGTCAATATGTGGGAAGAAGCCCACAATCTGGGAATTTAATGGACATATGGCAAAGGGTGTTCTACGTTTTTGGCACAGACTCTGAAATTATACGTTTGGTTAGTTTTATTTAGCATTATTGATCAGGTGGAAGAGATCAATAACATGCAGGAAATAGATGTGGGGAATTCTTTAGGTCAGAGAATTATATATATTGTTAAAGTCTTTATACATCTATGTTTCATTTTCTCTTTTAGTTCATTCATATTCAAGGCAGAGCCAGTGCAACTTTAGTGATGCAACTAAATGCTCTGACTAATCACTCCCATTAAATGTAGAGTGCAACTGCAAATCTGCCTCTGGAGATGGCAGCCTGTGTCAGTGGACAAGTGCAAGAGAAGATCCATATGTAAATGGAAAGACATAAAGGTATTTCATGAACTTCTTAATGAGGTGCCAACTACATTTGTATAATGCCAGCTGCAAAATTACACATTTAAAAGTTCATCATTTTGCAAGGAAGCCATATAAATACTTCCAACAGTGAAGCAACTCTGAAATCAAGTAATGAATGTAGAGTGAAGAGTCATTATTTATAGTAAGCTATGAAACAGGTTCCATGCAGACCAGGTGATCAAAACACTAAAATTCAGTATCAAGAGAAATCCTTCTTGAGTGATCTACTTTTAGCAATGGCTGCTAACATAAACAAAAACAATTCTCATTCATTGTCTGTGGCTAAACTGCGGGTGAGGAGCAGCTGCATGCTAAACTACCTGTTAGAATTAAGGCTTCTGGAAGCCATCTATGGAGCGGGGGTGGAATCAAGCACCATGAACCTTGGGAAGATTGCAAAGAGCAAATTGGACCGGTGAAATACCATTCCCACCACTGCATGGCTCACCTCTTTCATATGTCTAGCTCAGGGTTGAACAACTTGTGTCCCTCCAAATGTTCTTGCCTTCAGCTCCCATATTTCCTTATCATTGGCTACACTGACTGGGGTGGTTGTAGGACAAACATGTAGAGGGCCACGAGTTGTCCACCCTGATCTAACTCAATGAACACAGATCTACCAGCCCTATTCACTGCTTTATCTTGAAAACCATGAACAAAGCAAAGAATGGAAGCAGACTTCATGGAAAACCCTTGGAAGACTTCTTTCTACATTTCTTATATATCAACCCTTATGTGGCTGAGACATTCCTCAACCAATAAACCTCATTTATCCATCTGGAAGGCCATATATGAGAACCAAATTCAGCAACTGATAGTTTTATTTACCTTCATGAAAACAATGCATGGCCATGATTTATATTAGGACCATGATGCTTGGGAAGGAGAGGGTGTTAAGCCTTCCCTTCACACATTTTTCTTCTGAAATTGCACCTTCTTGGTAAGAAAAAGCAGGGGAAATCCTTCAAGTGAAATCTTTCTTTTTTATTTATTTAATAACTCTCAGGGATGTTGGTGGAATCGGGTCTGCTGTGGTTTTGATCTATGATCACAGAGCACTAAGGTTTTGATCACATTTAACACTACATACACTTACACTAGAGTTTTTGAAATAATTTTTAATCTGAGTTTTTTAAATATAGAATGGAAAAATACATTTTACAGAAATTAAAACAAGTTACATTACATGTATTTGAAATATAAATCCATAAGTATATGAAATGGCATAGTGATATAGCTGTCAGTAGAAACAGTTATTCCTAAACTTCAGAAAAGGCAGAGCAAATATTATGTATTACCATCTGCAAGTGGTGTCTAAATGCCAGACACTCAAATAGTGACAGCAATCTTCAATCCATTGTATTATAGGAAGAAGACATTTATCTTTCTATTGCTGTAATATCAGTTTTTCGCTGTCAGAAAGTGCAGAAATTCCACTTAGATTGTCCATGTGATAAATTCTGCACAACAGAGAACTCAACTAAAAGAAGATGTGTATCAGTGGATCTTAAAAAGCATTCTGCTATTAAGTTTATCATACTATAACCTCCACCCAAAAAGAAGCAACTATTGGGCACTGCCATAACATGTGGATGTAAAGTATTAGCAGTGTTCTACCTCCAATAGTCAACTGACTTGGACAAACACTGATTAAAAACAGATTGTGACATCCAGAGTAAACACAGAACAGATTTTTTTGCTGAATAAGATGTAACCTAAGTTTCATAGATTCACCTGAGACAGATGACAAAACAATATTGCATTGTTCAGATAAGTTGAACTATCTAATTCCCTATTCAATTCATTTTTTAAGGTTCTACAGATCACTCTTATTTATGGATAATAAATATTTATAAACATGAATGGTGGGTCAATGTAACTGTTGACACAAGTAATACTTCCAATAACAAAGTAAAGTACACTAGACTAAAGAAAAATAGCAGGTTCACCTATATTAATGTGATTAGTAGAATGTACAGTCTGGCTTAACTGTAGAGGAAACTGATAACTGGTACTGCCTTCAGCTCTTACTACACAGGAATGCTACTGGTTCATGTGCTAATTAAAAGCTTGCTAATATTAGAAACTAGAAATATCTATCTTTAAAATGCTGTAAAAAGCCATCCAGCTGATGATGGTTATGTCATGATTATTATTTAAAACAGACAAACAAAACCTCAGGATCTAAAGGTCTAGCAAGTAAAAATTTTAATAATATAAAAATAAGAAGACCATTTTGTAAAGGAGACAAAAGAAAATACTATTAGCTCAAGAACCTTGTGAAAGATTGTCAGTTTTGATCTTTCATTCCACAGCGCACAGAGTATCAGTCAAAAGATGTCAAAATACCTGGCAGCTCATACATTTTATGAATTTAACATGACTTTTCTAAACAGAAAAAATAGTGCATTTTACAAGGATTTGGAAACCCATTTTATATGCTCAGATACATGTCTGTTTCTCCCTTCCACCCTCTTAAATAAGCCTCAAATATTTTGGCAAACCCTATACTAATTAAGGAAACAGCTATGGACCTGATTTTTATTTAA